TCCTCCCCCTCGTCCTCTGCCTCTTCCTCGACCATATCCACGGCCGATGCTCGCTGCCCCAGCGCCATCCGCACTCGCCAACTCACGGCGGCGGAAATCCTCTTGAAGGATAGCTCGCTTCACGTCTTCAAGCGAGAGGCGGGGCAAGTCGCGATTAAGGTTGATGATGAGCGAGGACCATGACTCTGGGAGTAAGGCCAGCAACTTGGTCTTCTTTTGGAGCTCACTGTAGTTCAAATCAGCTCCCTCAAGCCGCGTCAACAAGTCGAAGAATTTCTGCACCCCTTCTTCAACCGCTTCGTCTTCTTCAATTCGTAGTGCCGCCATTTGCCGTTCCAACACCACCGCTACCGCCGCTGTTGCAGGAGCATGTACACCCTTGAGAGCAGCCCATGCCTTTGGTCCTTTCTCTGGTTCACACTGGAATGGCTTGATGTGACAGATCTGACTGCTCCCCAACGCTTTCCCAAGTAAGAGATAGCCTTGTGCGCTCTTCCGCACCCACGGGCTCTTCTACGGGTCGTTCTCGGGGCGCTTCTCCGTTCCTTCCATCACCTCCAGCAGGTCATAGTGGTCAAAGATGTTCTCCATCTTGAAGGACCATTCAGCAAAGTTGTCACCGTTGAACTTGTCAAGCCCAAACACCCTAGGCTCATCCCTAGGTGGGCCAAGACTTGGTTGCATGGGCGCCATGGCTGAATCACGGGGTTGGCCTTGAGCTTGAGCTTCTCCACTGCCACCAGCACCTCTGCCACCCCTTTCCTCAGGTCCAGACATTGTCGAAACTGCTCCAAGGGGCTCTGATACCACTTGTTATAGTCACAATAGGCTTGAATGTGTCTAAAACGAAAGATAGAGAGCACAGACGGATTTCTGCACAGCGGCTTCAAACGTTGATAGCGTTCTGCTCACAGCTGCAAATGACTTGATTCAAATTGGATCTGGAGCGTCTTCACGTCGTCTATGATTAGCAATTTAGATTGCACGATTTGATAAAGAATTGACGACACAGCGTCGGTTTGAACGAACGGTACTATGGCAGCCACTATATCTTAGAACACAAGATAGGAAGAGTTACGAGTTGGGAATGACTCCCAGCTCCTACAAATCCCAAGAGCCGAGGTACAGTGATGTGGAACAGTGCCACACTGTCCCCAACCACGAAGGGTCTCGAAACTACCCTTCACTAGGGCCTACACCAAGTGAAATGTTACACTACACAAAGTAATGTAACTATCTTCAATATCTTGAGGTGTACCCTTTTGGCAAGCTTCGAAATCACTTGAGGCTTGACACCAAGGCTCGGGCTCTTCATCACAAACTCATCCTTGAGTTCTTGATGGGTCTGCTGCACACACCTGCGACACGCCGAACGTTCGACACAGGACAAAATAGAAACCGCGCACGACAAAATAGAAACCGCGCGCGAGACACAAACGACCGCGTAATACGCGTCTAGCGATAACTCGCTATTGACTCGACACACACACTCGACATCATGACTCAACATTCACACACAATTATAAGCATGAAATATATATTATCCCATGCCCTCATACCATTCCATACACACACACATTCACGCACACGGACAACAAGCCGAGTGCAAACCGTAGGGTTGCACCAACAGGAACGAGCGCTTGTAGCCTCAAAACGCGCAAGGATCCGCGCATGTGCAGGAAGTGCAGCGGGCGCTCTTTATTCGCGAGCGCCGATGACCAATGATGCTCGCAAACCTCCCACGCCCTTGCTGGCTTGGCAATAGGCCCAGACAAGCGCAGCCGCGTGACCCGATGGAAGAAAAACGCTCGGAACGAGCGCTTCCAGCCTCAAAACGCGACAGGATCCGCACATGTGGAGGAAGTGTAGCGGGCGCTCTTCATTCGCGAGCGCCGATGACCAATGATGCTCGCAACCCTCCCACGCCCTTGCTGGCTTGGCAATAGGCCCAGGCAAGTGCAGCCGCGTGACTTGGTCGAAGAAAAACGCTCGGAACGAGCGCTTCCAGCCTCAAAACGCGCAAGGATCCGCGCATGTGGAGGAAGTGCAGCGGGCGCTCTTCATTCGCGAGCGCCGATGACCAATGATGCTCGCAACCCTCCCACGCCCTTGCTGGCTTAGCAATAGGCCCAGACAAGCGCAGCCGCGTGACCCGGTGGAAGAAAAACGCTCAGAACGAGCGCTTGTAGCCTCATAACGCGCAAGGATCCGCGCATGCGCAGGAAGTGCAGCGGGCGCTCTTCATTCGCGAGCGCCGATGACCAATGATGCTCGCAACCCTCCCACGCCCTTGCTGGCTTGGCAATAGGCCCAGACAAGCACAGCCGCGTGACCCGGTGGAAGAAAAACACTCGAAACGTGCGCTTCCAGCCTCAAAACGCGCAAGGATCCGCGCATGCGCAGGAAGTGCAGCGGGCGCTCTTCATTCGCGAGCGCCGATGACCAATGATGCTCGCAACCCTCCCACACCCTTGCTGGCTTGGAAATAGGCCCAGACAAGCGCAGCCACGTGACCCGGTGGAAGAAAAACGCTCGGAACGAGCGCTTGTAGCCTCAAAACGCGCAAGGATCCGCGCATGTGCAGGAAGTGCAGCAGGCGCTCTTCATTCGCGAGCGCCGATGACCAATGATGCTCGCAACCCTCCCACGCCCTTGCTGGCTTGGCAATAGGCCCAGACAAGCGCAGCCACGTGACCCGGTGGAAGAAAAACGCTCGGAACGAGCGCTTCCAGCCTCAAAACGCGCAAGGATCTGCACACGTGGAGGAAGTGCAGCGGGTGCTCTTCATTCGCGAGCGCCGATGACCAATGATGCTCGCAACCCTCCCACGCCCTTGCTGGCTTGGCAATAGGCCCAGACAAGCGTAGCCGCGTGACTCGGTGGAAGAAACGCTCGGACACCTGCAGGGCTACGCCGACAAGCTGCGTAGGCGCTTCATCGACGAGGAGCAGACCGGGCGCACTCCGAAGACGTCGGTCTCGGTCGACGCCTACGCTGAGCTCACCTTCGACGACGAGGAGGCACAGGAGCGTTAGGAGGAGGAGTACCGGCAGAAGGTCGGCTCGCTGCAGTTCGCGACGATGATGACGAGGCCGGACATTGCCTTCGCCTGCAGCAAGCTGGGGAGCGGCCTCACGGTGAGGAGCGACCAGCACTGGCACGAGGTCGACCGCTGCCTCGCCTACCGCGCCAACACGCGTGACACCACCCTGGAGTTCGGCGGTGGACCTGAGTCACTCGAGCTGGTCGGCTACGTGGACGCCGACGACGTCGGTGACAAGCAGAACAGGACGAGCACGGGCGGCTACGTGTTCGTCTATGGAGGGGCAGCAGTCTCCTGGTCGAGCCAGCGCATTAAGTGCGCGACGTTGTCATCGACCGAGTCGGAGTATGTGGTGGCCACGGAAGCCGAGAAGGAGGGACGTTGCCTTCGCTTCCTCCTCGCAGAGTTCTAGCAGCTGGATGCTGGGAAGCCGACCGTCCTTCGGGTGGACAACAAGTCGGCCATCACAGTCGCCGAGGGCATGGGGCTGACGGGCAACCTCAAGCACATGGAGCGGCGACAGGCCTGGCTGCAGCACATGGTGAAGCGCAGGAAGTTCTCGCTGAGGTACATCCTGACCACCGAGCAGCCGGTCGACTTCCTGACGAAGGCGCTGCACTATCCGGCCTTCAACCGGTGCTCCGTCGCCATCGGCCAGGTGCGCTTGGCCGACGTGGGCGACGAAGTTGACGAAGTGCAGCAGTAGGTGCCATGCCCTCTTGCATGGCTGGTGCGGTAGACGACGAGCTGTGTGTTGGGTGCACGTCTAGGGGGCCGCGCGGCCTCCCCTTCCCGTCGCCCGCCGTGGCGCTTCGGGGGGGCCCGCGCGGCGTCCTTCCCGTCGCCCGTTGCGGCGGCTCTGGGGGCCCGCGCGGCACCCTTCCCGTCGCCCGTCGCGGCGGCCCTGGGGGGCCGCGCGGCTCCCTTTCTCGGCGCCCTGGGGGCCGCGCTCTTCCCCCCCCCCCCCCCCCCCCTTCCTCCTACCTTCACCTGCAGCGGCCGCCCCTGGAGCCGCCCCTGGAGCAGCCCGCACCTGCAGCAGCCGCCCCTGGAGCAGCCCGTGCCTGCAGCAGCCGCCCCTGGAGCAGCCCGCACCTGCAGCAGCCCGTGGCCCGTCCCTGCAGCCCGTCCCCCCCCCCCATTGCTCCCATTCCGCCGTGCGTTCCGCGGTGGTGGGGGTGTGGGGTGGCGAGCATGGGGGTGATCGGTGTGGGTAGCCTGAAGCTCCTCCTCCTCCTCCGTCTCCCACTGCTGCAGCTGCCGCTGAGGGGGGTGGGTGTGTGGGAGCCGAGGGTTTAGGGTTTATGGGGGTGATGTGGGAGTGGAGCTAGGGGTGAAACTGGGGGTGTGTGTAGGGGGGTGTGGGACAGTTGGGGGAGGTTGAGTGGAGGCAGCCGGCATGTCGTCCGCAGCGCCTGTATTCCGGGGTTCTAGTGGCCGCCGATAGCTCAGAGAGCCTACTGCACCTGTCGCCCGTGGGTCCGTTGCTCCTGCCGCTCGTCGCAGCCGCAGAGCCTGTTACTCCTGTATTTCAGGGCCCTTGCTCCTGATAGCCACTGTGTCGCAGAGCGCGCTTCTATTGCCCGTGTGTCTGCAGCTTCAGTCGTCGCCTCCCGTCTTCTCTCCCCCACAGTCTCTCCTCCTCCTCACTTGCCCTCTGTGTTAGCCTCTAGCTTTACTTATAATTGTGAACTACTGCTATGCCTGCTCATTGTGCTGATTACACCCCACTTTGGCTATGGGGGTGTGTCAGAATATGTTGTTTGTGTAGCCTGCAGTGGGGTACTCAATAGTGAGTACAGCCCCTTAGGGTTTGCTATTTGTATCCTGCTGCTTGCTAGTTCATCCATTCCCTTCTCAGTTCTCTTCGTGCACACAATCCTAGCTCGTACTTGGCTCCTCGTTCTAGTCCTACTGTGGCCTAGGCTACTAAGCCTAGGCCGTACTCCTACTATCTTTAACAGCGGGGTGATGGAAAGCGGGAGTATGGGGCGAGGTGATGGAAAGCGGGAGAATGATGTGGGGTGATGGAAGGCGGGAGAATGGGGCGGGGTGATGGAAAGCGGGAGAATGGGGCGGGGTGATGGAAAGCGGGAGAATGGGGCGGGGTGGTGGAAAGGGGGAGAATGGGGCGGGGTGATGGAAAGCGGGAGAATGGGGCTGGGTGATGGAAAGCGGGAGAATGGGGCAGCGTGGGTGAAAGGGGGAGAATGAAGCGGGGTGATGGAAGGCGGGAGAATGGGGCGGGGTGATGGAAAGCGGGAGAATGGGGCGGGGTGATGGAAAGCGGGAGAATGGGGCGGGGTGATGGAAAGCAGGAGAATGGGGCGGGGTGATGGAAAGCGGGAGAATGGGGCGGGTTGATGGAAAGCGGGAGAATGGGGCAAGGTGATGGAAAGCGGGAGAATTGGGCGGGGTGATGGAAAGCGGGAGAATAGGGCGGGGTGATGGAAAGCGGGAGAATGGGGCGGGGTGATGGAAAGCGGGAGAATGGGGCAGGGTGATGGAAAGCGGGAGAATGGGGCGGGGTGATAGAAAGCGGTAGAATGGGGCGGGGTGATGGAAAGAGGGAGAATGGGGCGGGGTGATGGAAAGCAGGAGAATGGGGCGGGGTGATGGAAAGCGGGAGAATGGGGCGGGGTGATGGAAAGCGGAAGAATGGGACGAGGTGATGGAAACCGGGAGAATGGGGCGGGGTGATGGAAAGTGGGAGAATGGGGCGGGGCGATGGAAAGCGGGAGAATGGGTCGGGGTGATGGAAAGCGGGAGAATGGGGCGGGGTGATGAAAGGAGGGAGAATGGGGCGAGGTGATGAAAGGAGGGAGAATGGGGCAGGGTGATGGAATGCGGAAGAATGGGGCGGGGTGATGGAAAGCGGGAGAATGGGGCAGGGTGATGGAAAGCGGGAGAATGAGGCGGTGTGATGGAAAGCGGGAGAATGGGGTGGGGTGATGGAAAGCGGGAGAATGGGGCGGGGTGATGGAAAGCGGTAGAATGGGGCGGGGTGATGGAAAGCGGGAGAATGGGGCGGGGTGATGGAAGGAGGGAGAATGGGGCGGGGTGATGGAAGGAGGGAGAATGGGGCGGGGTGATGGAAAGCGGGAGAATGGGGTGAAGTGATGGAAAGCGGGAGAATGGGGCAAGGTGATGGAAGGAGGGAGAATGGGGCGGGGTGATGGAAAGCGGGAGAATGGGGCGGGGTGATGGAAAGCGGGAGAATAGGGCGGGGTGATGGAAAGCGGGAGAATGGGGCGGGGTGATGGAAGGAGGAAGAATGGGGCGGGGTGATGGAAGGAGGGAGAATGGGGCGGGGAGATGGAAGGAGGGAGAATGGGGCGGGGTGATGGAAGGAGGGAGAATGGGGCGGGGTGATGGAAAGCGGGAGAATGGGGCGGGGTGATGGAAAGCGGGAGAATGGGGCGGGGTGATGGAAAGCGGGAGATTGGGGCGGGGTGATGGAAAGCGGGAGAATGGGGCGGGGTGATGGAAAGCGGGACAATGGGGCGGGAGAATGGGGCGGGGTGATGGAAAGCGGAAGAATGGGGCGGGGTGATGGAAGGCGGGAGAATGGGGCGGGGTGATGGAAGGAGGGAGAATGGGGCGGGGTGATGGAAAGCGGGAGAATGGGGCGGGGTGATGGAAAGCGGGAGAATGGGGCGAGGTGATGGAAAGTAGGAGAATGGGGCGGAGTGATGGAAAGCGGGAGAATGGGGCGAGGTGATGGAAAGCGGGAGAATGGGGCGGGGTGATGGAAAGAGGGAGAATGGGGCGGGGTGATGGAAGGAGGGAGAATGGGGCGGGGTGATGGAAAGCGGGAGAATGGGGCGGGGTGATGGAAAGCGGGAGAATGGGGCGAGGTGATGGAAAGTAGGAGAACGGGGCGGAGTGATGGAAAGCGGGAGAATGGGGCGGGGTGATGGAAAGCGGGAGAATGGGGCGGGGTGATGGAAAGAGGGAGAATGGGGCGGGGTGATGGAAAGCAGGAGAATGGGGCGGGGTGATGGAAAGCGGGAGAATGGGGCGGGGTGATGGAAAGCGGGAGACTGGGGCGGGATGATGGAAAGCGGGAGAATGGGGCGGGGTGATGGAAAGTGGGAGAATGGGGCGGGGTGATGGAAAGCGAGAGAATGGGGCAGGGTGATGGAAAGCGGGAGAATGGGGCGAGGTGATGGAAAGCGGGAGAATGGGGCGGGGTGATGGAAAGCGGGAGAATGGGGCGGGGTGATGGAAAGCGGGAGAATTGGGCGGGGTGATGGAAGAAGGAAGAATAGGGCGGGGTGATGGAAGGAGGGAGAATGGGGCGGGGTGATGGAAAGCGGGAGAATGGGGCGGGGTGATGGAAAGCGGGAGTATGGGGCGAGGTGATGGAAAGCGGGAGAATGATGCGGGGTGATGGAAGGCGGGAGAATGGGGCGGGGTGATGGAAGGAGGGAGAATGTGGCGGGGTGATTGAAAGCCAGAGAATGGGGCGGGGTGATGGAAAGCGGGAGAATGGGGCGGGGTGATGGAAAGCGGGAGAATGGGGCGGGGTGATGGAAAGCGGGAGAATGGGGCGGGGTGATGGAAAGCGCGAGAATGGGGCGGGGTGATGGAAAGCGGGAGAATGGGGCAGGGTGATGGAAAGCGGGAGAATGGGGCAGGGTGATGGAAAGCGGGAGAATTGGGCGGGGTGATGGAAAGCGGGAGAATAGGGCGGGGTGATGGAAAGCGGGAGAATGGGGCGGGGTGATGGAAAGCGGGAGAATGGGGCAGGGTGATGGAAAGCGGGAGAATGGGGCGGGGTGATAGAAAGCGGTAGAATGGGGCGGGGTGATGGAAAGAGGGAGAATGGGGCGGGGTGATGGAAAGCAGGAGAATGGGGCGGGGTGATGGAAAGCGGGAGAATGGGGCGGGGTGATGCAAAGCGGGAGAATGGGGCGGGGTGATGGAAACCGGGAGAATGGGGCGGGGTGATGGAAAGCGGGAGAATGGGGCGGGGTGATGGAAAGCGGGAGAATGGGTCGGGGTGATGGAAAGCGGGAGAATGGGGCGGGGTGATGAAAGGAGGGAGAATGGGGCGAGGTGATGAAAGGAGGGAGAATGGGGCAGGGTGATGGAATGCGGAAGAATGGGGCGGGGTGATGGAAAGCGGGAGAATGGGGCAGGGTGATGGAAAGCGGGAGAATGAGGCGGTGTGATGGAAAGCGGGAGAATGGGGTGGGGTGATGGAAAGCGGGAGAATGGGGCGGGGTGATGGAAAGCGGTAGAATGGGGCAGGGTGATGGAAAGCGGGAGAATGGTGCGGGGTGATGGAAGGAGGGAGAATGGGGCGGGGTGATGGAAGGAGGGAGAATGGGGCGGGGTGATGGAAAGCGGGAGAATGGGGTGAAGTTATGGAAAGTGGGAGAATGGGGCAAGGTGATGGAAGGAAGGAGAATGGGGCGGGGTGATGGAAAGCGGGAGAATGGGGCGGGGTGATGGAAAGCGGGAGAATGGGGCGGGGTGATGGAAAGCGGGAGATTGGGGCGGGGTGATGGAAAGCGGGAGAATGGGGCGGGGTGATGGAAAGCGGGACAATGGGGCGGGAGAATGGGGCGGGGTGATGGAAAGCGGAAGAATGGGGCGGGGTGATGGAAGGCGGGAGAATGGGGCGGGGTGATGGAAGGAGGGAGAATGGGGCGGGGTGATGGAAAGCGGGAGAATAGGGTGGGGTGATGGAAAGCGGGAGAATGGGGCGAGGTGATGGAAAGTAGGAGAATGGGGCGGAGTGATGGAAAGCGGGAGAATGGGGCGGGGTGATGGAAAGCGGGAGAATGGGGCGGGGTGATGGAAAGAGGGAGAATGGGGCGGGGTGATGGAAGGAGGGAGAATGGGGCGGGGTGATGGAAAGCAGGAGAATGGGGCGGGGTGATGGAAAGCGGGAGAATGGGGCGGGGTGATGGAAGCGGGAGAATGGGGCGGGGTGATGGAAAGCGGAAGAATGGGGCGGGGTGATGGAAGGCGGGAGAATGGGGCGGGCTGATGGAAGGAGGGAGAATGGGGCGGGGTGATGGAAAGCGGGAGAATGGGGCGGGGTGATGGAAAGCGGGAGAATGGGGCGAGGTGATGGAAAGTAGGAGAACGGGGCGGAGTGATGGAAAGCGGGAGAATGGGGCGGGGTGATGGAAAGCGGGAGAATGGGGCGGGGTGATGGAAAGAGGGAGAATGGGGCGGGGTGATGGAAAGCAGGAGAATGGGGCGGGGTGATGGAAAGCGGGAGAATGGGGCGGGGTGATGGAAGGAGGAAGAATGGGGCGGGGTGATGGAAGGAGGGAGAATGGGGCGGGGAGATGGAAGGAGGGAGAATGGGGCGGGGTGATGGAAGGAGGGAGAATGGGGCGGGGTGATGGAAAGCGGGAGAATGGGGCGGGGTGATGGAAAGCGGGAGAATGGGGCGGGGTGATGGAAAGCGGGAGATTGGGGCGGGGTGATGGAAAGCGGGAGAATGGGGCGGGGTGATGGAAAGCGGGACAATGGGGCGGGGTGATGGAAAGCGGGAGAATGGGGCGGGGTGATGGAAAGCGGAAGAATGGGGCGGGGTGATGGAAGGCGGGAGAATGGGGCGGGGTGATGGAAGGAGGGAGAATGGGGCGGGGTGATGGAAAGCGGGAGAATGGGGCGGGGTGATGGAAAGCGGGAGAATGGGGCGAGGTGATGGAAAGTAGGAGAATGGGGCGGAGTGATGGAAAGCGGGAGAATGGGGCGGGGTGATGGAAAGCGGGAGAATGGGGCGGGGTGATGGAAAGCGGGAGAATGGGGCGGGGTGGTGGAAAGGGGGAGAATGGGGCGGGTTGATGGAAAGCGGGAGAATGGGGCTGGGTGATGGAAAGCGGGAGAATGGGGCGGGGTGGTGGAAAGGGGGAGAATGAAGCGGGGTGATGGAAGGCGGGAGAATGGGGCGGGGTGATGGAAAGCGGGAGAATGGGGCGGGGTGATGGAAAGCGGGAGAATGGGGCGGGGTGATGGAAAGCAGGAGAATGGGGCGGGGTGATGGAAAGCGGGAGAATGGGGCGGGGTGATGGAAAGCGGGAGAATGGGGCGGGGTGATGGAAAGCGGGAGAATGGGGCGGGGTGATGGAAAGCGGGAGAATAGGGCGGGGTGATGGAAAGCGGGAGAATGGGGCGGGGTGATGGAAAGCGGGAGAATGGGGAAGGGTGATGGAAAGCGGGAGAATGTGGCGGGGTGATGGAAAGCGGGAGAATGGGGCGGGGTGATGAACGGCGGGAGAATGGGGCGGGGTGATGGAAAGAGGGAGAATGGGGCGGGTGATGGAAGGCGGGAGAATGGGGCGGGGTGATCGAAGGAAGGAGAATGGGGCGGGTGATGGAAAGCGGGAGAATGAGGCGGGGTGATGGAAGGCGGGAGAATGGGGCGGGGTGATGGAAGGAGGGAGAATGAGGCGGGGTGATGGAAGGCGGGAAAATGGGGCGGGGTGATGGAAGGAGGGAGAATGGGGCGGGGTGATGGAAAGCGGGAGAATTGGGCGGGGTGATGGAAAGCGGGAGAATGGGGCGGGGTGATGGAAAGCGGGAGAATGGGGCAGGGTGATGGAAAGCGGGAGAATGGGGCGGGGTGATGGAAAGCGGGAGAATGGGGCGGGGTGATGGAAAGCGGTAGAATGGGGCGGGGTGATGGAAAGAGGGAGAATGGGGCGGGGTGATGGAAGGAGGGAGAATGGGGCGGGGTGATGGAAAGCAGGAGAATGGGGCGGGGTGATGGAAAGCGGGAGAATGGGGCGGGGTGATGGAAAGCGGGAGAATGGGGCGGGGTGATGGAAAGCGGGAGAATGGGGCGGGGTGATGGAAAGCGGGAGAATGGGGCGGGGTGATGGAAAGCAGGAGAATGGGTCGGGGTGATGGAAAGCGGGAGAATGGGGCGGGGTGATGAAAGGAGGGAGAATGGGGCGAGGTGATGAAAGGAGGGAGAATGGGGCAGGGTGATGGAATGCGGAAGAATGGGGCGGGGTGATGGAAAGCGGGAGAATGGGGCGGGGCGATGGAAAGCGGGTGAATGAGGTGGGGTGATGGAAAGCGGGAGAATGAGGCGGTGTGATGGAAAGCGGGAGAATGGTGTGGGGTGATGGAAAGCGGGAGAATGGGGCGGGGTGATGGAAAGCGGGAGAATGGGGCGGGGTGATGGAAAGCGGGAGAATGGGGCGGGGTGATGGAAGGAGGGAGAATGGGGCGGGGTGATGGAAGGAGGGAGAATGGGGCGGGACGATGGAAAGTGGGAGAATGGGGCGGGGTGATGGAAAGCGGGAGAATGGGGCGGGGTGATGGAAGGAGGGAGAATGGGGCGGGGTGATGGAAAGCGGGAGAATGGGGCGGGGTGATGGAAAGCGGGAGAATGGGGCGGGGTGATGGAAAGTGGGAGAATGGGGCGGGGTGATGGAAGGAGGGAGAATGGGGCGGGGTGATGGAAGGAGGGAGAATGGGGCGGGGAGATGGAAGGAGGGAGAATGGGGCGGGGTGATGGAAGGAGGGAGAATGGGGCGGGGTGATGGAAAGCGGGAGAATGGGGTGGGGTGATGGAAGGAGGGAGAATGGGGCGGGGAGATGGAAGGAGGGAGAATGGGGCGGGGTGATGGAAGGAGGGAGAATGGGGCGGGGTGATGGAAAGCGGGAGAATGGGGCGGGGTGATGGAAAGCGGGCGAATGTGGCGGGGTGATGGAAAGCGGGAGAATGGGGCGGGGTGATGGAAAGCGGGAGCATGGTAACCGCGGGTGAAGTTGAGTTGCGCTACGTGAAGACCACGGGGCAGCCGGCTGACATGATGACCAAGAGGCTGGTGGAGCAGCAGCATTGGAAGTGTTGCAAGCTGGCTGGGATGGCTCTGAACTGAGAGAGCAACATATCCTAAGGCCAACAATCCGAGGGGGAGTTTGTTGGTGCAACCCTACGGTTTGCACTCGGCTTGTTGTCCGTGTGCGTGAATGTGTGTGTGTATGGAATGGTATGAGGGCATGGGATAATATATATTTCATGCTTATAATTGTGTGTGAATGTTGAGTCATGATGTCGAGTGTGTGTGTCGAGCCAATAGCGAGTTATCGCTAGACGCGTGTTACGCGGTCGTTTGTGTCTCGCGCGCGGTTTCTATTTTGTCGTGCGCGGTTTCTATTTTGTCCTGTGTCGAACGTTCGGCGTGTCGCAGGTGTGTGCAGCAGACCCATCAAGAACTCAAGGATGAGTTTGTGATGAAGAGCCCGAGCCTTGGTGTCAAGCCTCAAGTGATTTCGAAGCTTGCCAAAAGGGTACACCTCAAGATATTGAAGATAGTTACATTACTTTGTGTAGTGTAACATTTCACTTGGTGTAGGCCCTAGTGAAGGGTAGTTTCGAGACCTTTCGTGGTTGGGGATAGTGTGGCACTGTTCCACATCACTGTACCTCGGCTCTTGGGGTTTGTAGGAGCTGGGAGTCATTCCCAACTCGTAACTCTTCCTATCTTGTGTTCTAAGACTATAGTGGCTGCCATAGTACCGTTCGTTCAAACCGATGCTGTGTCGTCAATTCTTTATCAAATCGTGCAATCTAAATTGCTAATTGTAGACGACGTGAAGACGCTCCAGATCCAATTTGAATCAGGTCATTTGCAGCTGTGAGAAGAACGCTATCAACGTTTGAAGCCGCTGTGCAAAAATCCGTCTGTGCACTCTATCTTTCGTTTTAGGCACATTCAAGCCTATTGTGACT